CACCAGGTGCTCTGGGGACAGCCGAGAAGGGACTGAAGCTAGAGAAGGCTGGCTGAACTGGATGACCTTGAAGGTTTTTTCTACTCTGACTCTAAGAAAAATAAATCAAGCCTCAAGATCACAAAACTGGGACTTCTGAGATGCTGTTATCACAGCCCAAAGCCTGGAACAGTGCCCCGTTAAAGGGGGAATTTTCTGGAAACCCTGCTGATATTCTGTCTTAAACCATTTGGGCCCAGTGGATTTGCTCTCTGGCAAAGTCCAGAGAGCATTTCCAGAAGCATGTCCCTGATTTGCAGACCTTGTCTTGTACTGGGACTGGTGCAAATGAGAACCTGCTGAGCCTGTGCACACAGAAATATGAGAGGCAAATAGGGGCTTTGAGTGAGCACTCATGGCTCAGAGGTCCTGGTGTGGCAACTACCCCAGGAGCTCTTTAATATGGAGGTGTTAGAGTCTGTAAACAAGTCAGGATGGCGCCTGGCAAATGTTAGAGTCTGTAAACAAGTCTGGATGGCGCCTGGCATTTTGCCAGAGGGAGTGGTTTGTGAAGTAAAGCCAGCGAGCCATTAAGTGTGGAGATTCCTTATTGGTTGACTGCTGTATCTAGTTTATGCTAATTAAGATAAGCTGTGTAAAATGTATAAATACCTCTGTTGTCCTACAATAAAGGGCTCCTACTCCTGCTGTATCAATCTACACAAGTTGTTTGTCACCCCCGGTTATTTTGCTGCAGCCGGACTGTGGCAGATGGTAGCCCGTATGGGGAGCCCCGGGACACTCGGGGGTAAGTGACGAAAAAAAAAGCTGCCCGTCCATAGATAGGACGGGAGCAAATCTGCTCGTCCCTAGGCAGATAGGGCGAGAGGAAAAATGGCCATTTCGAGAAAATGGAGAAGATTGATACAGTATGTTTGTGTCTTGTTTTGTCTTGAAATGTTGTATTGTCTTTGTGATGAAAATATGGAAGGGGTGAGAAGTAAATCACTAAGGGAAGAAGGCACCCCAGTGGAACCAAGAGCAGTTAGGACATGTGTTGATAGAAGCCCAGGAACTCTAGTCAGAAAGAAAAAGAAAGTTCAGAGGAGGAAGGATTATCAGGAAAAAAGTTGCAGCAAAAGGCTATTACTGAATACTTTTCGTTACCGGAGGGTGCGTGAATTGGCATGGCGGCTGCCACGTGCTCAAGCCAGTTATGGCGCAGCAAGGACTTTTCAAGCGGCTGGCTGCAACCGGCTCTTCCCTGCCCCCCACCGGGGAGTGGGATGCCATTGCGAGAGCCCAAATCCAAATCTGTGCCCGGAAGCAGTTTGAGTCCGAACACTCCCCTGACTCTCCCCGGGGCCATCTGGGGCTGCCTGGGACGCTGCAGGCGGAAGACCGGCCAGCGTCCCTGAAGTTTGATCATTTCCAAGGCCAGTAACTACAATGGTTCTCCCACACCCGGAAGCTAATGAGTAATGAGCACTATATTAAGGCCTATTTCAAATGTAAAAAACCTTGAGATAATGTACTAAATTTTCCAGAAGGTTGTTTTCTTAGTGCCTGCTGGAATACTACAGGATTTTCTTTAACATCATTGCTGGAGTTCCTGCCTTCGTCCCAGTGCCGGTGAGGACGAGGGTGGAAGAATTTCCAGTGTTGCTGAGAACCGGACGAGACTTCGGATCAAGCTAGCTGCCTGCAGAACTTACCTGGACTGTGATTTACCTGGACTGTGAGTTAATCTATTGAGACACTGCTTTACCTGGACTGAGACAAACTGTAATCTACAACAAATTGTAACTTGGTATCTTGGCTAACGGTGTCATTGCTGGTATAATTTTTCCAAGGGCTTCTTCATGGAGCCATCAATTGGCTTGGTATTGTGACATGTTGTATCCTCCCCTTCTGCTTGTAGCAGATTATTTATGGTGTTTGTGTAAAAACCACTATGGTCGTTATTTAAATTAAACAAAAGGGGGAAATGTTAGAGTCTGTAAACAAGTCTGGATGGCGCCTGGCATTTTGCCAGAGGGAGTGGTTTGTGAAGTAAAGCCAGCGAGCCATTAAGTGTGGAGATTCCTTATTGGTTGACTGATGTATCTAGTTTATGCTAATTAAGATAAGCTGTGTGGAATGTATATATACCTCTGTTGTCCTACAATAAAGGGCTCCTACTCCTGCTGTATCAATCTACACAAGTTGTTCGTCACCCCCCGGTTATTTTGCTGCAGCCGGACTGTGGCATGGAGGAATTTGTGTTTACCACTCTTTAAAATGAAACAAAGCAGGGTACGGTGGTGCACACCTGTAAACCCAGTGGCTCCGGAGGCTGAAGCGGGAGAATCGCGAGTTCAAAGCCAGCCTCAGCAAAAAAGCAAGGCACTAAACAACTCAGTGAGGCCCTGTCTCTAAATAAGATACAAAATAGGGCTGGGGATGTGGCTCAGTGGTTGAGCACCCCTGAGTTCAATCCCTGGCAACCTCCCAAAATAAGAAACAAAGAAAAGCAGTAATTATTCCCTAATTTTAGAAGTTAACCATTGAGTAGAAAAAGCAAACTTCAGCTTAGTTTCTCCTATGCTACACTCACAATTCAGATCACTTCTGCAATCCCAAAATGTGTGACGACTTCTCCCCAGTAGTAATCAACAAGTAATTCTTCAGTGTCTTCTGATTTAATTCTGCTCTGACACCGTCTACCTGGAGACAGGATCAGATCTCACAGATCTAGGGCCCAGCTCCCAAGACTGGCTCCCAACTTCTGATGCCAGTCTCAAGTTCCAGGGTGTTTTGCCTGTGCTTCTGTCAGGCTGGCTGTAAATTAGGGTTCCCACAACCCCCTCCTTGGGTTCAATTAATTTTCTAAAGTTGCTCACAGAACTCAGGGGGAACCCATTGTTAAGGTTTGGGTATGAGATGTCCCTCAAAAGCTCCCGCGTTAATGCAGGAGGTGGATTGATCAGATCATGAGAGCTTGTAACCGAATTCATGGATTAATTAATTTGATGGATCAATAGTTGGAAAAGACTTCTGTATGGGAGATCAGCAGGTGGGCCATGGCTGGAGGAGCTGGGTCACTGGGGGTGTGCCTTTGGGGTTTATATTTACCTGGCACCTTGCTTGCTCTCTCTCTCTGATTCCTGGCTGCCATGATGCGAGAGCGCTCCTCCACCATGCCCCTCTGCCACGGTGCTCTGGCTCACTCAGGCAAAGAGTAATGGAGCTGGCTGATCATGGACTGAACCTCTGAAACCATGAGCCCCAAATAAACTTTCCCTCCTCTAAGTTGTTCTTGTTAGGTTATTTTGGTCAGAGTGATGAAAAGGTGGCTGACACACACGTGTACTGGTTTATTATAAAGGACATTACAAAATTACAGATGAAGAGATGCACAGGGAAAGGCATAAGCAAAGGGCAGGATGGCTTCAAGTAACTACCACGTGTCCAGATAGCTGGAAGCTCTCTGAACACTGGCCTTCGGGGCTTTCATGGAAGTTTTGTTGTGTCGGCACCATTGAAGCTTGAACAGTCATGTAAAAGTGTGCTGGGCATGATCTGGTTATGGTCTGGTTTGGGAGTATAGTTCAGTGGTTAGAGCATGTGTTTAGAATGTGTGAAGCTCTAGGTTCAACCCCCAGCACAGAAAGAGAGAGAGAGAGAGAGAGAGAGAGAGAGAGAGAGAGAAAGAAAGTTATGATTTACACGTACTAGACTGGGAAACCCTGTGAGGCCCGTCTGTCCAGATTCGACTCAGCCTCCCTATGTAGCACTCTTTCTTGCTGGGTATGAGCAGGACTCCTTCTGAGATATGGGGGTCTGATGATCTGACAAAGTAGGTCAGAGAATTTCTTTATGATCTGCTCCATGACAGAAAGTTGAGGGAATAATAGTTTCTACAGCTTCCCTTGGGGAAGAGAAATTTTAGTTTCTCTGGCCCACTTTGAAAATAGAGTTATGAGCCAGGAATTGTGGGTGAAAATATGTATCATCATAATATCACAATCAGAGACATCTAAAATCTCCACTAGGTGGTCCTAATCTGCACCAGATGGTCAGAGTTATCATTTGGAGCTCATCTCTTGCAAGGCAAGAGGAAAAGTAAAAAGCACTTTGAATTCTAGTTGCACGGTGACCATATCTGGGGAAGTAGGCAATTTCTCTGGCTGCTTTTTTTAAAAGAGCTTTTAGCACACAGGCTGCTATCTGGACAGCAGCCTTTCTGGGACCTGTGGTCTGGAACACAGAGAAAGGATGAGGCTTTCTAGAGAACCAGCTGTGCCAGACCCTGAAGACTGCAGAGGGTGGGTGGCTCATTTTTCCAGCTTTCCATGACAGGGACAGGGGAAAGGTGGGGTTCTTTTCCTGTGGGAGATCTTTACTCCAGGCTCTTTGAGCTGGGAACCTCTGCACCTGATTATTCCAATATATCTTTATACATACGCTGGGGCAGAATTTAGCTCCATGCATAGGCATAGCAGTCTCCAGAATAAGCCCAGCACAGATTGAACTCATGCTGAGCCACCTGGACATGCTGCTTTGCCTCTCCGCGCTTCCCTTTAGAATGATGCTAGAGATGCCCTCCAAGCCAGGCTGTATGATGTATTAAAGTGAACAATACGTGGAAAGTTCTTAGCACAGTACACAGCTCAGACTAAGTGCCCAAACATTTTTGTTGAGAATTGATACTATGGTTACAAAGTGGCACTAAGTAGAGCCGGACATAGGGTGTTGGTAAGTTTTCCATGACCCCCGACCCCTTCACTGCACAGCAGTCTCTTTGAGGAAGGAAAAGTGAAAGACCCTGGATTGGATGGAAGACAGCCAACATCCTTCCCTATAAAACCCTTGCTCCACCCCTGCTCCAGGCCTTCTGGTTGAAATTTCTCTGGACCAAGCAAGGCATCAGCCAGCACGGGGCTTGCTGAGGGGCTGTGGCTGTGAGCAGGTCTTCAGAAAAGTCAGGGAGGAGGAGCTGGAGTGTGGCTGCAGCCTGTGGTCTGGAAGACAGGGAAAGAATGAGGCTGACTGAAGAACCAGCTGGGCCAGACCCTGAAGGCTGCAGAGGGTGAGTGGCTCATTTGTCCAGCTTTCCATGACAGGGGCAGGGAAAAGGTGGGGTTCTTTTCCTTGTGGGAAACATAGAAAGGATGGCTGGTCTGCTTTGGGCAAAAGTTAGGAGATCTGAGTTCTGCTCTTACCTTGTCACTCCCTGTCCCAGTCTCCTCTCACCTCTTCCCAGAGTTATCTGTTCATTCACATTCTGCTGGCTGGACACACTGATCTCATCTCTGAGAAGTGAGAGGTGCAATCCAGTCCCTGCCTCCCTGGGCCAGCATTTACGCCCAGCCTGTGTTCCAGAGTTCTCGCAGCTCTGTGGAGTGACTCACTGAGGGGTCCTGAGAGGCGAAGTTCTGCTCGACTCTCAAGGCAGTACTTTTCCAATTATGGGCCTCGACTACCCTGAATTGGTCACAAGCATCCAGAGTGCTGGTTAAATGTGCAGGTGCCCAGTTCACACTGGAGTTGGTGCGTCACACTGTTTATTTTCACAAGCTCCCCTGCTTCCAGCAGGCAGGTTGTGCAATGTGGGAGCCACTGCTCTTCAGGAGGATGGTGTTTGGGGCTGTGGAGGGCTGTCTTGAAACTGCTGGAAGGTGACTGGATGTCAGAGGGAGATGTGATGGTCGTGGGACACATCACATGTGGGAAGTCATCACTTGTGAAACTCAAGGGCACAGGGGCACCTATGCTGACCTGGTGGCTACAGAAGTAGTGAGCTCCTATCAGGGAAAGTTTAGGCTGATTTTTTGCTCAGGAGGGGGAGCCGGTGGAGCTGGGGCTGACATAGTGGTTCTCTGCGGCTGGCGTGGAACTATCTAGGAAGCTCAGAGAAGCCAAATCTTAAAATAGACTTATGTTGAGGCCCTGGGAGATGAGAAGCCCTGATTGGAAGTTCCCTTCTATTTTTACAAATTTGTTTCTGTGATGGCCCAACAGATTTAATAATAACAATACCTACTGCATTTGGGTACCCCAAAGCTTAAAGGGACAACGGGCTAGGGACCGATATGTGGAGGAATGAAGTGCCTGGCAATCTGGAGACCTGTGTTCCTGCCTTGGAGGATGCAGAAGCTTCCCTGTCTTTGTGGGAGGCTGGCGTGGGCATTGACACAGCCCCTGCCACTTCTAGCTGCACTTTTCTGAAGTCCCCACCTCTCTTCCTGCTCCAGAGTGAGGTGGGCCCTAGGGGTTTTGAACTGGCCTTTGGAAGAGGCTGCCTGGAGAACCCTCTTCTTGGTGCACAGTCCCAGTGGCTCACTAGAACCATGTGTTTACAGATGAGGAGGCAGCAAGCACCTGGTTAGGTGGTCTGTACAGAGAACTTGAGGGGCCCAGAGCTTGGGACCTAGTCACAGCTCCACCCTGAATCACTTCAGGGTCCCTGGGAGGAAATCTCTCTGTGTCCATTCTGGGAAATAGGAATCTATACTAGACTTGCTGATTTGGAAGGTGGAGTTAGGCATACATTATTTATATACACCCACATACATGCATACACACACACAATAAAATATACATTTATTGTATATACACACAAATATACACATGCATATATAAACACACACATATACACACACACATAAACATACACAATAGACTAAAGCATATGTATGTGTGCACATATATATGCTTTAGTGTACTGTGTATGTATATGTGTGTATATACGTGTGTTTATATATAAACATATACTCATATACATACCACACATATATAACATATAATGCATTGTTTCAAATTTTTTTTGGTTGTCAATGGACATTTATTTTATTTATTTATAAGTGGTGCTGAGAATCAAACCCATTGCCTTACACATTCTAGGCAAGTGCTCTAACACTGAGCCACAATCCCAGCCCTCCAACACATGTTTATAAAGAGATCAAATCGAGAGAAACAGAAAAGTCAGATAACTTGCACAGTTGCCGAGCAAGCAAGGGTAGCTCACAAGCCCTCTCTGAAGGTTTGGGAGTTCTCTCTGAGGGTTAAACCAGCAGCTCTGGTGTTATCATTGGAATGCACCCTTCTGAGCCCCAGCGCTCAGCACCTCTCAGGGTCTGCTGCTCAGGGGCTTGCCCTTCAGCTCCTGGGGGTTGGGCCTGACCTGGACACCTGCTCTTGGAGGTGCCTGAGTGCTCAGGAGTAGGAATGTCAGGGAAAGAGTGGTAAACAGAAGATAGGGGCAGAGGAAGCCAAGAAGGAGTGAAGCCCCAGGATGCTGAGGGTCACACGGAATGGGTAGGCAGCAGGGCTCGAAGGCAGCCTGGGGACCCTGGCACCACTTGGCAGGCAGCAGAGGAAGCTGGTAAGGGTGGAGTGAGCTGGAGAGTGTCGCTCCATTGGGGATTACAATTATGCTGGGACACAAGCTAGGCAGAGGCTATTACTCTTCCCCTCCCCCTCCTAGCAATCCCCCCACCAGAACCCCACGGGACCTCTTGTATTGCCAAGAGCCCTGTGACTGTGTCACGGAAAGGGGTGTCCTAATTTCCTCACTAAACTCTGATCAGAGGGCATGGGGGGAGATGGTCAATGCTGTGTGGCTGCATAGACTGCACCCTGGGCCTGCAGTCCTGGCTGAGCCAGGCTCATTCTAGAAGTGTTGGAGCAGGACCAGAGGCTCTGGGGCATACCAGGATGAAAGAACAGACTTGAATTTGAGCTCTGTCTCTGTGTCTAACCTGCTGAATACATTTAACTAAGAAACTTAATTGCTCTGAGTCCATTTCCTCTCTGCAAAGTGCCATGGCCCACCAGAGATCCAATGAAGCAGGAGTGGTAGGAAGGATGGGAAAGCAGAGAAGAGCTGTGTGAAGGTGAGGTGGAAAAGCCATCATCATCTGGAGTGATCCCTATCATGGGGTCCGTCCCACGGGAGCCCTGTCTTTTCACAGCCTATAGAGATGCAAGCCTTGGCCAGCCCCCATAGTGGGGAGGCAGGGCTGGAGGCTTGGGGAGGAAAAGGCCTGGCTGCGGAGGTTCCGACCCGCAGTCAAAGCTGAACGTACTGCAGGCGAGGCCCAGAGCCTGAGTTAGAGCGCAGCAGAGGTCCTGGCACCACCATGAGGCCTCTGGAGCCCAGGGCCACCCCAAACCCATAAGTTTGTCTCCTTTGTCTCCCAGCACAAGTGCAGAGGAGGATGCCAAGTGGCTTCAGTGGGTGACACAGCAGTTCAAGAACATTGCCGGAAAAGACAGGGAGATCAACCTACAAGAATTCAAAAGAGCACTGAATGTGAAAGAGGCAAGTGACCACCCGAAGCAGGGGCCCTGCATTTATATTTTATAGAGGAAGAGCAGCTGGTTCTCAAGACAGAGGCCTTACAGGAGAGCCAGGGAGTTCCCCAGGCCCCACAGCTAAGAAGGGCTGGCAAGGGGTTGCTGGTGCCCTCCCATCCCTCTGAGTAGCCATGGCCTTCTGGGGTTTTCCAACAACACAGGAGCTGGGTGCGGTGGTTCATGCCAATGATCTCAGTGACTCAGGACGCTGAGGCAGGAGGATCAGCAATTTAGTGAGACCCTGTCTCAAAATAAAAACAAAAAAGAATTGGGGATGTGCCCCAGGATTCAATCCCCAGTACAAAAAACAAAGAAATCAAAGGAGGAAGAAGAAAAGAAATCCCACAAAGTAGGAAGTCAGCAGAAATATTGAGAGATAGTACAGCCTCTCAGTTCCCTCTAGCCTTGAGGGTAAAGCTGATGCTCTGACTTTAGCCTCTTTCCAGGGAAAAGTTTTTGAACCGCAGCAGGCCTCCCTGCCAAGAAAACAGTGCACTTATCAGCAGAAAAGAGAGCCAACTATCCTCTGAGCTGACATGGGATGGTGGCCGTGTCCTTGGCAGGGGTTGGCCAGTGAGCATTTGAGTGCCCCAGGTGGATCAGAAAGCACTGCTTGGAAAACTAAAGTCGCAAGTCCTAACACAGAAAACACAGGGAAGGAACAATTGGCCCACTCAGTCTAATGATTCAGTTCCTTCAAAACAGGAGGCTGTGAACACCTCAAGGTAAAGGTCACTCGTGGTGATAGAAAGATAAAGGCACTACCCTAGGAACCCAGGAGAAAAGGAAGGAAGCCCAGGCAGACAAGCTCCTCCCTCCCCCAGGGAGGCCTCTCAGGACTCCAAGCCCCACCCACCTTAATTCCTGTGTGTGTCTCCAGCATCTTCTGCCAGGCCTGGAAAGCAGGGGCTGCACAGTACGCGACTGTTGATAACTGAGTCAGCTCTTAAGAACAAGCCATAAGTGTAGGCTGCAGAGAGCCTTAAGAACCAGAAAAGCACAATGTCGATTGGGTCTACTGTATAAGTCCCTGTCAAGTTCATTTACCCCTTGGACACCCAAAAGGGGAGGAGACAAATTCTGGAAGGAACCCGCCCTTTTCCCAGGTTGGGTAAGGGGCCACCCAGAGATCTAGACTGCAAGGCCGACAGGGGCTCTGGCATGCAGGTCTGCAGCCACACGGGTCTCCCACCCTTCCCCCCCACAGTCCTTCTTTGCAGAGCGGTTCTTTACCCTGTTTGACTCGGATGGAAATGGCACCATCACCCTGGAGGAGCTGCAGGAGGCGCTCACCCTGCTCACCCGCGGCAACCCCATGGACAAACTCAAATTCCTCTTCCAGGTGTACGACGTGGATGGTGAGGGCTCTTCCTGGGCACGGGCTGGGTGGGGAGGACGGGGCCCTTGGAAGAAGCCAGCCGTCTCAATGCTAAGTTCCATGAGGCTCTACAGACCCAGCCTGGGCCTGAGCCTGGGTCCTCAGAAGAGGCTGGCTTCCTTGTCCCTCCTGAAGTCCCCCATCTCTGCCCCTCTGGGGCAGGAAGCACATGCCTTTGATTCAACTTACCCAGAAGCTGGTGGTTTCCTTCTGTTCTTTTCTTTGGTTGAAAAAAGAAATCACTTTGTTGCTTTTTTCTTATCATCACAATGATAGAAGCTCACCATGAATATGTCTGATAACTCAAAATGGTGTAAAGAAAGCTAACACTTCCCATAACATTTTACCAAACTTCTTTCTATGGTCACACACACCCCACACACCTTTTTAAAAAATGGGACCATGCTAGTTTATTTTTCATTAAACAATATCAATATTTTTCATGTAAGAATACATTGCTTTACAACATCATTTTTATCATAGTGAAATATACATAACATAAAATTTACCATTATAACCATTTTAAGGGTGAAGTTCATTGGCATTAAGTGCATTCAGAACTTTCCATCTTCCCAAATTGAAACTCTGTACTGTTAAACACTAATTCCCCATTCCTCTCCCCGCCTCCTTCTACTTTCTGTCTCTGAGAATTTGACGGATTTAGATATCTCATGTAAGTGGGATTATACAATATTTGTCCTTTTGTGTCTTGCTTGTTTCATTTAATATGATGTCTTCAAGTTTCACCAATGTTGTATTATGTGACAGGATTTCATTCCTTTTTAAGTCTGAATAATATTACACACACATACACACACACTAACACACAAACACACCACATTTTTTGTTTATTCATACATCTGTCAACAGACCCTTATATTGTTTCTGTCATTTGGTAACTGTGAATAATGCTGCTATGGACATTAATATACAAATACGTTTGTGTCCCTCTTTTCAATTCTTTTGGGTACATACTCAGAAGTGGAATTGATAGATCACATCATAATCCTGTGTCTAATTTTTCAAGGAACTGCCTTGTTTTCTACAAAGGGTGCAGAGTTTTATGTTCCTTCAGCAATGGACAATTGTTCCAAGTTCTCTACTTCCTTTCTAATACTGTTACTTGTTACTTGTGGGAACTCACAGGGGTTCTTGCACTGTTTTTGAGTGCGGCTTCATGGTTCCTACATATGCTGTGTAGCCTAGCTTAGTGGTTAAGGGCTCAGACTCTGAAGCTGGGCTACCTAGGTTCCAATATCAGTTTCATCTCTGAATTTTAGCATGTTACTTATTGAGGTATTTTGTTTATCTCATTTTTTTAAACTATTAAATGGGGATAATGATAATGATAATAGTATATACCCAGGTTGAGAGGAGGAATAAATTAGTTAATTTATGTAAACTCAGAACAGTGTTTAAACACAGGATAATTAAAGGGATCAGCTATTAAACTGTTACTATCAGTTTAAGTTCTGTTTACTTAAACCCCTTTACCTAAATGGAGAATTACAGCCTACCGCCCTTCCTCTTTGGCATTATAAACAAAATTTCAACGAACATCCTGATTTGTACATCTTTGGCGATTTATTCGATTATTTCCTTAGTATAAATTCCTAGGAAGGCTTATATTACGTGTTCAGGCAGGAGATTTCAAAATTATTTTTAAATATTAAGAACAACGAAAGATAAATACAGCGACCTAGGAAGCCCAGCCCAGCAGCTTCCTGGTAGGGGCATGGCCTCCGCTCACCCCGCCCAGGCTCGACTGCTAGGGAGGGAGACCAATCTTCTCAGCACAGGGGACAGCCAAAGCCCCTTCTTCGGTCGCTGGCACCCCTGTAAATAAATAAGCTCCCTGCTCTGCAACATGAACCTTCCCCAGCTTACACATCTAAACTTTCGGGGCCAGAGCCAGCCACTTGGAGTGCTAGCTTTTTCTGCAGAAGAGTGTGGACGCTGATTTATTCTGCTTTGATTTCTATGGCGGGTGGGCTGGGGGAGCAGTACTACCATTTGCTAATGTGAAGAATGAAAGGAGGAGCTGGAAGACAGGAGGGGCTCTGGTAGAGGCTGAGAGAAGAGTGTTCTATTCAGTGCCTCTTCCCATTTTTGCCTTTAATAAGTGCAAAGGCCATGGTTTGGAGTCTCAGTTCAATGAGCAATGGGGAGCCATCAAAAAGTGTTGAGCAGGGGAATGACAGGACTGGATTTGCATTCCAAAAATTTAAATGTCAATTCCGACACACTCAGGAAGCAGGCATGGTCAACAGCCCATACAACTGGGGAGCAGGTTCCAGGAATGAGGTCTAGCTAGATGGGGTCAGGTGGGAATGGGAATAGAGAAACCCCCAGAGTTGCTGACCATGCCTACTTCCTGAGCATCTTCCCCAGCCCCCTTCCCAGTCTCCCAGGGCCCTTCATCACTAGCTGTTCCTAAATACCAAATTTTGCTCACACCTGGGGGGTCATCAATGACCTGATAAGGAGGGGTCGGTCTGTAACTGGAGGAAGAAGAAATGTATACCTTGCCTTGGGGGACTGTTACAGGGACAAAGGAGGCAAGGCAACGAAGATAGCAGGAAACAGTTTTATTTGGCTGCAGCCAGGTTCAGAGGGCACAGCTTTTGCTGTAATCAATTAATCCCCTGAACCCCGAGTTCAGGGAGTTTCAGAGTTTTATACCCAGCATGTAAGAGGAGGGGCTCAGAAGTTCACAGTATACAGAAGTTCACATAAAAGCAGCTTTTTCTTTCACTGTTTTGGTCAAATTAACCCTTCAAGGACAACACCTGAGAAGGGGAGAGCTTCTTCTCCCCTTTCTATTCTCTCCCTGCCAGCTGTTACCATGGAGCCCAGTTGGTAACTTCTCTTAAAAATGTAGACATCTCTGTGAATCCCAGATCAAGGCCAGAGCCTTGTTTGCACATTTCTTCAAAGTACTATACTGGATATGTTTGTGAAAAACTAGTAAGGTGGTATCCAGCACCTGGAGGGCTGGTATCTTCTTGGCTAGTGGCCAAGAAAACAGGGTTATACAAAAATAGGAAGTTTATCTACATTGAACTCTTCTGCAGAGACTCTTTTGCTGACAGTCCTAAAATCAGTCTGGGTGAAAATTTCTTTTCAGTGGAGAAAGGGGGTGCCACTTCAGGACAAAGGTGGGAGAAAGAAAGCTGGTGGTTTTGTGGTCAGAAAGTGGTATGTTAGACTCTACATTGTAATGTGATTGTGGGCTTTGACTTGGGCCCAAATAATGATCACAATACCAATAAGAATTTCCATGTAAACTGAGCGACCAAGCATGGTGGCACACTCCTATAATCCCAGCAGATTGGGAGGCTGAGTTCAAAGCCGGTCTCAGCAAAAGTGAGGTGAGACCATGTCTCTGAATTACAAAATAGGGTTTGAAATGTGGCTCAGGGGTCAAATGCCCCTGGGTTCAATCCCCGGTAACCCCTCCCCTCTGCAAAAAAAAAAAAAATTCCCATGTATATGCAATTTCTTTCAGACACTGTATTAGATGTTTCACAATTGTCCATTATCCTTGAACCAAATCTGGAGGGAGAAATTATTATCCCCATTTGATAGATGGGCAAAGAGAGAGTCTATACTCTAAAGATTTAGAGCCACCATAACACAGCAAGGGGCAGAAGCAGGATGCTACCGTGGCTGTGTCTACATCTAAAGCAGTGCAAGCAAACATTCATCCCAGTCCTGTCCTGCTGCTTAGGAAGAATGAACATTTTAAAAAAATGGAACATAATTAGAGAAAAAATGTTCCAAATCTTATTTTAGGTGTTTTGACTTCTTTTACCCATTACTATTTATTTATTTAAAGTATTGGGGATTGAACCCAGGGCACTCTACCACTGAGCTATATCCCCAGCCCTTTTACTTTTTATTTGGAGACAGTATCTCACTAAATTGATCAGGCTTTGATCTTTCGAACTTCCTACCTCAGTTTCTAAAGTAACTGGAATTACAGGTGTGTGCCAGTGCACTGGGCTGTCCATCACACTTTTAGCCACCCATGTCTACATAAGGCCACATGGCTGGGCTGGAGTGCCCAGCTGTGGCCTCTCCACAACATGATAAACATTCTGCTGTAAGTTGGCGAGCAACAGGGCCCTTCTCCTCAACACCACCCCATATTCGGTTGGCCTCATGGATAATGAAGTCTGAGTGCACAGCTACTTATAGATTAAGCAAGTACTTTTTCTAGGCAGATCATCATGGAAGTTGAAGGATACTTAGCGAGGATACCACTGATTCTGGAGAAAGCCATCCACTGAGGTCAAAGATTCTCCAGACTTGAGGAGGCCCTCATTTCTGTTGAGCTAGGCAGTAGGGAGCCATGGAAGGTTTCTGAGCTGCACGGAGGTGACATTTGGTCCTTTGCTTTGTCTTTGCGCCTAAAGGGAAATGGTTGGCAGAAAACTGAAGGTGGGTGACGAGAAAACATCCCTTACCCAATACAATGTGAGTGCAGGGCATCTGCAGGGCTTCTGCAGGGCTGCCACAGCTCCGCCCTCTCCCCCCTCTCTCCGTCCTCACCCGGGACAGGCAGCGGCTCCATCGACCCCGACGAGCTGCGCACTGTGCTACGGTCGTGCCTGCGCGAGAGCGCCATCTCGCTGCCGGAGGAGAAGCTGGACCAGCTGACGCTGGCGCTCTTCCAGTCGGCGGACAAGGACTGCAGCGGTGCCATCACCTTCGACGAGCTCCGTGACGAGCTGCAGCAGTTCCCCGGCGTCATGGAGAACCTGACCATCAGGTACGCTGCGGGGCTCGGGCGCTGCCCGAGTCGGGGCTAGACCCAGGTCCCGAGCGGGGCGGGCGCCTTCCCAGCGTAGTCCCCATGTGTCCTTTTTCCAGGGAATAAAGATCTGGCCCGAGAGCAGCTATTGTTTTGCCTCCATTTTTTCTGCACGGTCTGTTCAGAATCAATTCACAGTATTAAGCACCTACTACGTGCAGGGGGCACTTTCACATGCAATAATGCATTTTATAACAATGCCTATTTTTTCAAAGGAATTGAAATTACTTCTGAATAACTTGCCTAGGATCACACAAATAATTAGCAACAAATATTGGCTGAACAGCCACCACACATCAAGCTCCATTCAAAATAAGGGCAGTGCTTGGCAGGGACTGAGTTCTCAACTCTGCTGGGAGACATTTTGGAGACATGCAATTCATATCAATATACAAATAAAGTAGAAAAGTACACAATTAGTAAATCCTGTGGAGAAAATAAGAGTGGAGGCTGACCGCAGACCCAAGTTTGTCTGAAAAGTGCCAATCTTGCAATCCATTCTTTTTGTGTCTTAACTTTCTTATGGGTTACTTACCAAAGTGTATCTCAGATTCTTCTCTCCTTTTTGGTTGCCATTTTTTTTAATGGGAGAAGTAAATAGAGATAATAATAATAATAAAAAATAGCTGTGGTTGTGACATCCAACACACCAGAGTTCCATTCCATTTCCACCTAACTGTGTGACAGTGACCAAGTCTCGACCTCTCTGTTTCCTAGCGTGGAAGGAAGCTGGCTTACTTGCACAGCTCCAAAGAGTTGGTGGGCCACAGCAGGTGGGGGTCTCTAGGTGACCCTCACAGCCCACACAGATTCTTCCCCTCTCCTGCCCCACTGCATCCCTCTGAGCAGAGTCCCCTGTCTTGCAGTGCTGCCTGCTGGCTCACACCACCTGCCAACCGTCGTCCTCTGCACAGGCCACGCCCACTGACAGCTGCCTACTGGCACAACCACCGCAACCAGCTGCTCTGCCTGGCCACCTACACTGGCCTCCAAGTGCTGCTCTTTGTGCTGGCGGCCAATGCACACCGGGCCCTTGGTGCCAGCATCATGGTGGCCAAAGGCTGTGGCCAGTGCCTCAACTTCAACTGCAGCTTCATTGCGGTAGGGCTACACTGGCATGTTGCAGGGAAGCAGGTCGGGGGAGAATGTGGGTTCTCACATACAGACACCTAGAAATAGCAGGGCAGGATGGCATCTTAGAAATCACCTGGGCCAGCACCCAGAGATGGAAGCTGAGGCCCAGAGAGGGACAGTGACTTGTCCACAGTTGCACAGCCAGTAAGGAATAACATAACTGGCAATTTAGTGCACTTCCTATGTATCAGGCATGGTGATGAATATATTTCATTTGGTCCTCACAACAACCCTATGGTAAAGCCTCTGCTGGGCTCCATTCAGAGAGAAAAAAACTTCAGGTCACCTCTAATTTAAGTCCCAATGTGATCCTCTGCACCATGGAATTGGTCTCCAAGCATTTTGTATCTCACATGCCTGCAATTAAAACAAAACTAACAAAAACCCCTCATATGCTTTACTATATGCATGAACTAGTCTCTTAGCTAATACAGCTATGGCACAATATCATTGTAAAGCCAGACTTTCCCTCCACCATCAGGGATGCACATCTCTATTCTAAACATGCTTCCTGGAATTATCAGCTTCTTGCCAGAGTGGGCTTTGTTTCAACCCCATAACCAGTTGACAGACTTCATGCCAGGAATGTGCGGCACATGGCTCATTCTCTTGATCTCTCACTCTTGCTTTGTTAATGCTACTTCCACTCTGCAGCTTCCCAGCAGTGAATCCTCCTAAGTTGCCTGCCCTTGGTGGGGGGCGTAGTTAGCTTCATTTAGTTAAAGCAGACACTGTAGTCTGTGGGTCCACATATCTAGGCACACATAAATCCACCAATCGCAATGATCAAGTGAGGAGCCTGCGCCAGCTGCCCTGCATTTTGGAAAGTGGGATCTTCCCCCAGGACACCTTGAGAACTGCACGTGCCAAGTGTCCATCTGACATCTGCACTAAAGAGGCACCTTGTCAATGCAGATGTTCAACGTTAATGAAAGTTTCTACGTTTCTCATTTTGTTTCGATAGAAAACAACACAATCAGACACTCTAGCGTTTTCTTCTCACCCTAATTCTGAAGACTCTCCTTTAGAGACCCCAGCTGTGGACCTCAGAGAGCACCAAAGGCTGGGGAGCAGCGGGGGTCTGTTCAGGAAGTCCAGGCAGCTCAGGGGGATGTAGGCACACCCTGCTGAGGAAAGGACAAGTGGGAGCTGCTGGGCAGGGCTCTTGCCACTCTACCCGCAGGTGCTGATGCTCAGGCGCTGCCTCACGTGGCTACGGGCCACGTGGTTGGCTCAGGTCCTGCCCCTGGACTACGTTATCCAGTTCCACCAGCTCATGGGTTACATGGTGGTGGGACTGTCCCTTGTGCACACTGTGGCCCACGTTGTAAACTTTGGTAAGTGGTCTAGGGGAGGGCTGGGGGGAACCTGGGCCTCACAAACCCCTGGATTACACAGCTCCAGCTCTGAACGTGGGTGCAGCCCCTGTGTGTCCTGCCTGCCTGCAGAGGGGAAGCAGAGGGGCCCAGGGTGGGCCAGCACTCTGAGCCAAAGTCCCTGCCTGGGCCAGTATTTGATGCAGAGGGTCCCAGAGGCAAGGCAGGTGCAAGAGTGGTCTTGTGCTTGTCTGCAGCACTCCTGGCTCAGTCCGGGGCCAGCCCCTTCCAGTTCTGGGAACTGCTGCTCACCACGCGGCCTGGCATCGGCTGGGTGCATGGCTCAGCCTCCCCGACGGGCGTTGCACTGCTGCTGCTGCTGCTGCTCATGGTCATCTGCTCCAGCCCCTGCGTCCGCAGGAGCGGCCATTTCCAGGTGCCCCAGCCCTGACCCCTTTGCCTCTCCCCAAGCTGGGTTCCCACTTTCCTTTTTTTTTTTTTAATTTAATTGATTTTATTTTTTAAATACACGACAGCGGAATGCATTACACTTCTTATTACACATATAGAGCACAATTTTTCATATCTTTGTATATAACCCACTTTCCTTTTTTGCTGTGTCCCCTCTGACTTGCTGCAGAGCTCAGGAAGCCCCAGGCTGGTCTGCGTGCTATTTGTGTGCCATCTGGGCTCTGCCGTCGGGCCCAGTTCACATGTGCCAGCTGAAGACGGCAGATTCTGCCTTTCTGTGACCTTACCCCTTTGCCCCAGTTGGTATAAGTCAGGCTCAGAGGGCACAGGGGGAAAGAAACTCAGGCTTGCCAGGGTCCAAATCCCCACTCCACCACTTTCTGCTCACTCAGCCTCTCTGAGCCTCAGTTTCCTCATCAATAAAATGAAGGTCTAATCCTTCACCTTTGACATTATTTTAGGAAGTTCGTGAGGTAGTATATGCGAAGCTTCTGGTCCTATACCTGGCACACAGTGCTCTGAAAATGTCCGTTCCTTCTTCACTTCCTGCCTCCAGTCTGCTCAGGATTTAGAAGGTCGTGGCCAGCTTGGTTTGGAGACCGTAACTGTGTCCTGGACTGAACTGGCCACATCAGGAACAGAAGCCATGGATCCCTGCTGTGGCAGCAACAGGCTTTGAAGCAGGAGCCCACATCCTCATTTGACAGATGAGGACTCTGATTCTCAGAAAAGTCAGGAACTCTCCCAAGTCCCCTAGCTGGTGGTAGAGCAGGCACTAAACTGTCTTCCTTCTTTTCCCCTCCCAGGAAACCACTGCTGTCTTTCCCCTCTCCCTGAGTAGGGGCCAGTGGACAGGGACATTGGTGTCATGATCCCTTTGTAGGCACTCTGCTTTGCCCAGAACATTGCCAGGCACATTCAGATGTTTGCCTCTGTATCAGAATCTTCCCTTCCAGACTCCCTCCGTCAAGCCCCAGAACAAAGAACCAATGCGCCTCGGTTACCTCAGCCTCTTACCTATCCCTGTCCCGAGAGAAAGTCAAGGCTCTGGGCTTTGAAGATGGCCCTGAGCCCTGGCTCTGTGCCACCCTCAGGCCTCAAGCTTGGCAGTGACCACCTCATATCCCCACAGGTGTTCTACTGGACCCACCTGTCCTACCTGCCCCTGTGGATCCTTCTCATCCTGCATGGGCCTAACTTCTGGAAGTGGCTTCTGGTCCCCGGCATCTTGTTCCTCCTAGAGAAGGCCATGGGGCTGATCAAATCCCGCATGGCACCCCTGAGTATTGTGGAAGTCAACCTCCTCCCCTCCAAGGTGCAAGGGGGGGCGCTTTCCTCTAACCCTGAGTGGCAGGTGATAGGGCAGAGTGCTGGGCACCTTGTTAGACCCCAAAGAAATACACATTGGTACAACTGCAGCCCGGGGTAATGGAGGAAACCCACACCATGCGAGACCCGGCCCAGCCTTTCAGGTATGACCCTTTAGGAAGAGGAATGATGGGACAGACAGCAAAAGGCCAGGACAAGGGAGAAAATCCCAATTCAGCTCCATAAGAATATATTAAGTGGCTGCAAGGTTGCAGGCCTGTGATAAGTCACACAGACACCGCCTGCTCTCTAAGGAGTCAACCCTTTGACATAGAGCAGAGCTGTATTGGAGAGAGAAGCAGAGTGTAAGGAAGTACTAAATCCCTGTCTTTGGGAGGTCAGAGAAGCCTTCAATCAATCAATCAATCAATAAAGGAGGTGATGCCACCTCAGTGTTTTGAGGGTTGGATAAGAATTTTCTAGCTATGAAAGTTGGGAAAGGGTATTGGTAAGAGAAAGAATAGCTCAGAAAAGGCCCCGGGGCTGTGAAGGGTCACGCTGTACTTGAGGGACCTCTAGGAATTTGACATGGCTGGAACCAAGGGAGAAGCTGGAGAGGTGGGCAGGGTGTGGCCATGAAAGACCTCTGAGGCTTGGACCCTGCCCTGCAGGCCGCTGGAACCCCTGCACTTGTAGGAGGAGATGGTGGTGAAGTGGGGCAAACATGAACAATTCATACTCTAGCTAGATTTCTTTATTTGCTCTGAGGAAAGTGTCTCGGAGAAGAGCCATTGGGAAGTGCTAGCAAATACGAAGCCCATAGCTTGTGAGGCCTTGACCCTGAGGCAGTAGCCATGGGATGGCGGGGCACCTACCACAGAAAACTCAAGAGTAGCGCTGCATTTTGGGGTGAGTGAGGAAGGAGCCAAGGCCGCCTCCCAGGTGTCAGAGTGGCACCATTGACAGAGAAAAAAGAGGCAGTGCTGGGCGGGTCAGCTCTGGGCAGCTGCAGTTTGAGGACTCAGGATGTGGAATGATGAAGCACCCTGTGTGACCAGGCACTGGAGACAGACAGCCTCTGGTGGAGTTATATCCCACTGCCCCCTGCCTGGTGGCCTTGGGCAAGTTATTTAAACTCTCGGAGCCTCAGCTTCTTGTCCCTAAAGTGGGAAAGACCAGTATTTATATCAGAAGATTGCTGTGGGGCCTCGCACTCTTGCTCACTGTGCTCCTCACAGCTCTGGTACATAGTAAGTGCCCAATAAACTAGAGCTAGTGTCCAGGAGGATGCTGTCGCTCAAGGAGAGAAGCCCATTGCAGTGGGATGCCAGCCAGGTGCTAACAGGAAGTGCTATGGAAGTCTCAAGCCCAGGAGGGAGAAGTGGGGTTAAAAACCCTTTAGCGCAGCGCCACTGTCCTTCCCCTAAGTCTCACCCATCCCTAGGCTAGCAGGCTGGCTTCAAGGTGAGTCCCACTTAAAGGCAGAGACAGTGTCACCATTGGAGGAAGGGGTGGCCCAGGCTCTGCCCTCTCGCTCTGATGCCCCTGGCAGCTCCAGGTTAGAGAGGATGACCTGGCCTCCTTCTTCTTTCTCAGGTCACTCATCTCATCATCCAGCGGCCCCCTCTCTTCCACTATAGGCCTGGGGACTACTTGTACTTGAACATCCCCACCATCGCTCGCTATGAGTGGCACCCCTTCACCATCAGCAGTGCTCCTGAGCAGAAAGGTACGGCAGCGCCCACCACTCACCACACATGCCCAGTGCCTGCCGTGGGCCTGCTGCAGCCGGGGGGCTCGGAACATGGTGCTGACCCACGTTGAGACAGAAAGTTGTCCTGAAAATTGTCCTCAGCTCCCTCGGAAATGGGGAAGACATGAAAACTGCCCGAGTGGGGTGGCAAGGGCTATAGCAGCTGCCCCAGAAGGTTCTGCAGGGGCCAGCTTGGTGGGATAAGTGGGGAGGCTTCTCAGACTTAAAAGATTAATAGGAGTTTAGTAGATAGGAGAGGAGGTGTGGGAAGAGACAGAGGGGCCAGCACAAGCAAAAAGAGGAAGACCAGGGAACATGGGTCCTGTGATGGGCAGGGAGTAGGGAGGTGATAACCCAGTTATCGGTGAGTCCTGCTCCCCACACGTTGAAGTTTGAACATTAGAGAAGCACACCAAGGCAAGACATAAAGCAGGGCTTATTTTTAAAGGGGTAACATAGACTTCTCCCGGGAGGGAGAAGGGGGCCATGGCTGGTATCCTGGTATCCCAAGAAGTGAGGTGTTCTGCCCTGTTTATGTCCCAGGCTTCCTTTGCTCTCCTGCCCTCTTCCCCTTATCCTTCCTGCCTACTGTGGCTAGGCCCTGGAATGCTGGTGGGCTGGCCAAAAGGTGGGAAACAGGTGGGCTGAGCGGGGAAGGCAGGACGGAGCAGCCCAGGACACATTAATTAACCACCTTAAGCTCCCTGTAGGAGGGGCAATTCCTGGGACAGGTTACCCTGGCAACAGGCTGGAGCAGGGGCAGGTTTTGATAAGGGTGGAGGAGGGGCTCTGAAGGAATTAACGTTTCAGTCCCTCAGGGGACAGTCTCCAACTTGCCAGACTCACTCAAAATTGGCCTCCTTGATCAGACCTGACTCGATTTACCTATCTATACTGACTGCCTGTTCAATTCTGGCTTCAGAAGGAGGGATGGGTGGGGAGAGAAAGAGAGGCAATGTGGCCCGCAAAGCAAATTAGAGCCAAGATGGGACCAAGGAAAACGTTGAATGCAGAGTTGGAATTGGGATAGATGATTCAGGCAGTTGAGAGCCGTAGATGGTTCTTAAGCATGGGAATAGCTGGCTCAGAGGAGAACGAGGCATTTTCAAGGGGGGTGGGTTTCCACACTCCCACCTGGACATGAGCATTATAGAGACCTAAGGCAGCTGAAGCCCTTGCATTCTTCTTCCCTAACCCTGAACTTCCATTTCTTTCTGGGTCCCCAGCACCCATAGGACTGCTCAGTTGTCCTCCTTTTACCCAGCTGTCCTCTGTCTCGCACCCATGCACATGCTTCCTTCAGGTCCTAGGCTGTTCTTGGGGCCAGCCCCTGACCCCTTCTCTCCTGGCCAGCCAGCAATTAGCCTTCCCACCACAGGTGGTTCCTCCAGCAGGCAAGGGTAGCTTGCACGGCTCCTCCTGCCAGGGAAGATCTTGGGTGACTCGTCACAGCAGAGCCTTGCTTGGCTAAATGAGGGGTAAAGGGCACCAGGGCTTCTCTCACTCACACCACTAGAAGCTTGAGCTCCTAATGCCTCCCAGGATGCCTCCCACCCCCGCCAGCAGAGCCTCTGGCCCAGTTGCTACAGCTCAGGTGCAGACCCAAGGCCAGGGTTCCCCACGTAGAGCTGCACAGTCTCCACCCTGGAATCACCTGGGTTGTGACTATGGGACAAAGGCAGGCTCGGGGTTGGAGAGGACATGCCATTTTCTTCCCATATTTCTCTTTTTCTGCTTTGTTAAAAATAAATGTGCATACTCTCAGAAAATTCAGACAATAGAGAAATATGTAGAGAGGAAAATTAAAATCCCTCAACTAATTTTTTCCAAAGAAAAATTAGTGCCAGTCCTCTGGTGAACAGGCTTCCAGGTCTCTCTATTCCAACACAGATAATCAGATTCAAGACTGTTTTGCGTACCTAGGGTCACACACCCATGGCTTTGCAGCCCATTTTCACTCAGTGGGCAGGATGTCCTGAAGGTCTTTGCATGTTGGGGAATGTAGAGCTTTTCCCTCTTGTGGCCACATGGTATTCTGGGGTTGGATACCAAGATGTTTATCTTATGAACATGTCAAGTATTTGACCAGTTCTTTTTTAAAAATTTTTTAGGTGTTAATGAACCTTTATTTTATTCATTTATTTATGTGTTTTGCTGAGAATTGAACCCAGTGCCTCACACATACCAGGCAAGTGCTCTACCACCGAGCCACAACCCAGTCCTTTGACCAGTTTTTTTTATTGCTTTTTTTTAAAAAAAAAAAATACATGACAGCAGAATGCATCACAATTCTTATTACACATATAGAACACAATTTTTCATATCTCTGTATATAAGGTATGTTCACACCAATTCGTGTCTTCATACATGTACTTTGGATAATGATGTCCATCACATTCCACCATCATTGCTAACCCCCTCCCACTTCCCTTCCCCTCCCACCCCTCTGCCCTATCTAGAGTTTGTCTATTCCTCTCATGCTCCCTCTCCCTACCCCACTATGAGTCAGTCACCTTATATCAGAGAAAACATTCGCCATTTGTTTTGTTTTTTTTAATTGGCTAACTTCACTTAGCATTATCTTCTCCAACTGCATTCAAATGCCATGATTTTATTCTCTTTTATTGCTGAATAATATTCCATTGTGTACTTATGCCACATTTTTTAATCCATTTTTTAAAGAGAGAGAGAGAGAATTTTTTAATATTTATTTTTTACTTTTTGGTGGACACAACATCTTTATTTTATTTTTTATGTGGTGCTGAGGATTGAACCCAGCGTGCGCGCATGTCAGGTGAGCGCGCTACTGCTTGAGCCACATCCCCAGCCCCAAATCCATTTTTTAAATCCCACATGATGAGGATTAGAGCTTACTTTTTCTTCTATTAGACAGAGTCTCTGATTTAATTCCTAGATCCTTGATCCTCTTTGAGTTGAGTTTTATGCATGCTGAGAGATAGGGGTTTAATTTCATCTACTGAAGGGCATCTAGGTTGGTTCCACAGTTTAGCTATTGTGAATTGTGCTGCTATAAACATTGATGTGGCCGTGTCCCTGTAGTATGCTGTTTTTAAATCCTTTGGGTATAGACTGAGGAGAGGATAGCTGGGTCAAATGGTGGTTCTATTCCAAGTTTTCCAAGGAATCTCCATACGGCTTTCCATATTGGCTGCACCAATTTGCAGTCCTGCCAGCAATGTATGAGTGTACCTTTTTCCCCACATCCTTGCCAACACTTATGGTTGTTTGTCTTCATAATAGCTGCCATTCTGACTGGAGTGAGATGGTATCTTAGAGTAGTTTTGATTTGCATTTCTCCAATTGCTAGAGATGATGAACATTTTTTTTTCTTATATTTGTTGATTGATTGAATATCCTCTTCTGAGAAGTGTCTGTTCAGGTCCTTGGCCCATTTACTGATTGGGTTATTTGGTTTTTTTGGTGTTTAGCTTTTTGAGCTCTTTATATACCCTAGAGATTAGAGCTCTATCTGATGTGTGAGGGGTAAAAATTTACTCCCAAGATGTAGGCTCTCTATTCACCTCATAGATTGTTTCTTTTGCTGAGAAGAAACTTTTTAGTTTGAGTCCATCCCATTCATTGATTCTTGGTTTTAATTCTTGTGCTATAGGAGTCTTATCAAGGAGGTTGGAGCCTAATCCCACATGATGAAGATTGGAACCTACTTTTTCTTCTATTAGACGCAGAGTCTCTGGTTTAATTCCTAGGTCCTTGATCCACTTTGAGTTGAGTTTTGTGCATGGTGAGAGATAGGGGTTTAATATCATTTTGTTGCATATGGATTTCCAGTTTTCCCAGCACCATTTGTTGAAGAGACTATCTTTTCTCCAATTCATGTTTTTGGTGCCTTTGTATGATATAAGATAATTGTGATTTTTGGGGTTAATCTCTGTTCTGAAATATTGGTCTACCAGTCTGTTTTGGTGCCAATACCATGCTGTTTTTGGTACTATTGCTCTGTAGTATAGTTTAAAGTCTGGTATAGTGATGCCACCTGCTTCACTCTTCGCTAAGGATTGTTTTAGCTATTCTGGTTCTCTTATTTTCCCAGATGAATATCATGACTGCTTTTTCTATTTATATGAGGAATGCCATTGGGATTTTGAATGGAATTGCATTAAATATGTATAGTGCTTTTGGTAATATGGTCATTTTAATAATATTAATTCTGCATATCCAAGAGCAAGGTAGATCTTTCCATCTTCTAAGGTCTTCTTTGATTTCTTTCTTTAGGGTCCTGTAGTTTTCATTATATAGATCTGTCACCTCATTTATTAAGTTGATTCCCAACTATTTTTTTTGAGGCTATTGTAAATGGGGTAGTTTTCCTCATTTTCCTCTCAGAGGATTTGTCACTGATATTCAGAAATGCCTTTGATTTATGGGTGTTGATTTTATAACCTACTACTTTGCTGAATTCATTTACTAGTTCTAGAAGTTTTCTGGTGGAGCTTTTTGGGTCTTCTAGTTTTAGAATCATATCGTCAGCAAATAATGCTAATTTAAGTTCTTTTCCTATACATATCCCTTTAATTTCTTTCGTCTAATTACTCTGGCCAGTGTTTCAAGAACTATGTTAAATAGAAGTGGTGAAAGAGGGCATCCCTGTCTTGTTCCAGTTTTTAGAGGGAATGTCTTCAATTTTTCTCCATTTAGAATGATGTTGGCCCCGGGGCTTAGTGTAGATAGCCTTTACGATGTTGAGCTATGTTTCTGTTATCCTTAGTTTTTCTAGTGTTTTGAACATGAAGGGGTGCTGTATTTTGTCAAATGCTTTTTCTGCATTTATTAAGATGATAATATTATTCTTATCTTTGAGTCTATTGATGTGATGAATTATGTTTATTGATTTCCTTATGTTGAACAAACCTTGCGTCCCTGGGATGAATCTCACTTAATCATGGCGCACAATATTTTTTATATGTTTTTGTATTCAATTTGCCAGAATTTTATTG